GGGCGAGGGCTCCCCGTGTAACCAGGCCCCGCATCCCCCCCCCAAGCCAGCTGCATCTCAGCGCCAGGCGAGGGGGCCCCGTACTCCCCCCCAAGCCAGCTGCATCTCAGCGCTGGGCGAGGGGGCCCCGTGTAACCAGCCCCCCCAGAGCCAGCTACATGTCAGTGCCGGGCGAGGGGGCCCCGTGTAACCAGGCCCCGCATTCCCCCCCACAAGCCAGCTGCATCTCAGCGCCGGGCGAGGGGGCCCCGTGTAACCAGCCCCCCCAAGCCAGCTGCATCTCAGTGCCAGGCAAGGGGCCCCGTGTAACCAGGCCCCGCATTCCCCCCCCCAGAGCCAGCTGCATCTCAGCGCCGGGCAAGGGGTCCACGTGTAACCAGCCCCCGCACCCCACCCCAGAGGCAACCCCATCTCAGTGCCAGGTGAGGGGTCCCTGTGTAACCCAGCCCCCCCCCCCAAGCCACCTGCATGCCAGGGCCAGGCGAGGGGTCCCCGCAGGAGTGAGGGAAGCTCCCTAACAGAGGAGGCCCTACCTCTCCGCACTGTCTCTTCACTACAAGTCCCTGCTGCCCGCTCACTCCTCCTTGCCCCCTCCTCCCCATGGCTTGCCCTTACGGGGGTAAAACTGGGTGGGCCACAGCCCCTGGCCCCACTTCTTCTGGCACGCTAGGTCCCTGTCTAACCAGCCCTTACGCCCACCCCAGATGGGCCCCCTCTCAGTGGGGCTCACTGTATAACCAGCCCCCGCCCCCCCTTGGAGGGGTTACGTCTCAGCGCCAGGTCCCCAAATACCAGCACCCGTACCCCCCACCAGCAGCTGCATCTTAATGCTGGGCAAGGGCCCCCCCTCTAACCAGCTCCCCACAGAGGGGCCATGTCTCAGCATCAGACGAGGGGTCGCCCTCTAACCAGCAACCAGCCCCCATCCCAGAAGCAACCGCATCTCCACACCCTGCTGCACTGAGACACCTTTATTAACACTCAGCAATCCAAACACAGGAAACAAGACACCAACGGGGACCCTCGAGCGCTGCCCCAGCCCCCCATGGCCAGCCGCCCCCACTGAGAGTCCATGGGGGAGGGGGAAGCAGCCATCCGGACAGTGCTAGCAGAGCGGGGGGTGCGTGGGGGGGGCTCTGTCGCTCCAGTGGGGGGGTCCCATCACCGTAGCTGCCCCCCCCGCAGAGCCAAGACCAGGTGGAGGACGGAGCCGCCCTGGATCTTGTAGTCAGCCGCCGTCTTCTCGTCGTTCCTGTGGGGCGGACGGAGGGACACACAGACAGAGCGGGCATGAGCCGGGCAGAGCCACCACACAGCTGCCTGCCGCGGGAGTGGGGCCAGGACTCTGGGGTTCCCTCCCTGGCTCTGGGAGGCGAGAGGGATCTAGTGGTTAGAGGGGGCTTGGAGCCAGGACTCCTGGGTTCTACCCCAGGGGAGTGGGGGTTAGTGGGATAGAGGGGTGGCCCTAACAGCCCTTTATGCCAGCTGGCAAAGGGCACCCCCTGTAGTCTGAACATTCAGCCCAACAGTCTCGTTGGGTGCCCTAGTGACCCGAGAGCTGTGGCATGGTGCAGGCCCCGAACACACTGGTCCCCTCGCGTGCTGCCAGCGCCCCCCCGAGGCAGCAGGCCACTGCCTGGCAGGAACAGGAATTATACCAGCCTGAGCGCGGACATTTCCATCCACGCCACGCAATGGTGCACATCACCCAGCGGAGGTGGCAGCCGGCCCGGCATCCATGGGGATACGTGGCAGAACATCCCCAGGGTACCCAAACGGGGGGAGACCCTCTGCCGGAGCGCCGGGGAAAGCTGGTCCGTGCCCCTAGAACCAGCTCCATGCAGGGGGCGAGGGCATGTCTTCAGTGGGGCCAGCCCCCCGCTGGGGCCTCCGTCTCTCTCTCTCTCTGCCGGGAGACCCCATCGGGGGGCCTGGGAGATGGGCAGCACTGTCGGGGAGGGCCAAACAGGCAGAGGCTGGAGGATTGGCAGGGGAGGCAGGCAGGCTGGCACACCACCCAGTTTAAGCACCAGCAAAGCTGCTGCTGAGGGGGGACGCTGGAAGCCAGGATGCCTGGTTCTGTTCCACGCTCTGGGAGGGGAGTGGGCTCCAGTGGTTAGAGCACAAGGGGCTGGGAGCCAGGATTCTATCCCATAATGCCCTAGGGAACGTTCTGCTGGCAGTGGGAGCAGAACCTATCCCACAATGCACCAGGGGCTGCTACACTTCAGATATCCCAGAATGCCCCTGGGCTGCAGCCACCATCGCGCCCCTCCCTCCCACTCACATCTGCTTGCCGCTGTAGATGAGACGCTGCTGCTGGGGTGGGATCCCCTCCTTCTCCTCCACGCGCTCCTTTATCCGCTCCACCTGGGGGGTGAGGGAGAGAGAGGTGAAAGCTGGGCAACCCCCCCGGGCAACTCCCTGCCCCAGGGGCTTCTGGGACAGAGGGGGTAGGACCAAGGTCTGGACCCCAGGAGAGGGGACAAGGGATGGAGGGAGCAGGTCTGAATGCTGGATCCCAGGAGAATGGGTCGGGGACGGGGGACGGGCTCTCCAGAGGGGCAGGGTCTCCCCCAGCCCCACCCCCTCAGGACAGTTACCTTGTCTGTGGGCTCAATGTCGATCTCGATCTCCTTCCCAGTCAGCGTCTGGAAGCAGCAGGGGAAGCCCCGGTTAGCAGCAGCTCCCCCAGGATTCCCCGGTGCACACTCCCTGCCCCTCTATCCCATCATGCACCAGGCAGAGAGAGGTCCCTAAACCTGCAAACTTCTCCCACAATGCCCTTGGGGACCCGGCTTTCCCATCATGCACTGGGGCAGCAACTCTTGCTCACTTGCTCTGCCCCCCCCCCAAGCAATCCCCTGAGACCCCTCCTTCACCCAGCATGCCCCAGGGCAGGGGCAGCCCGTGGCCCCCCAAAGGGCACTGGGGGGGGGAAAGGGTACACGACCTGCTGTCAGCCCATCCCCCTTGGGGACCCCGCCCTGTTCTCCCAGCATGCACCAGGGCAGGGAGTGGGCAGCACCTATCCCAGGATGCTCTGGGGCAGCAACTCTTGCTCACCTACCCCCCCCCAACGCCGCCATCCCCTGGGACCCGCCGCCGCCCCCATCTCCCAGCAGCCCCCGCGGCGGACCCCTGCTCACCTTCACTTTGATCAGCATCGTGGCCCGGCAGCGCCTCACCTCTGGCCCGGAACCAGAACCCAGCCCCCCCGCCGCTCGGAGGCTTTTACCCAGCAGCCTCCGCGCGCGCGCAGCCCTCAGCCTGACGTCACTTCCTCCACTTTTCCAGCCCCGCCCCGCGGGGCACGATGGGAGCCGTGGTCCCCTCAGCACCGCCCCCGGTGCGGAACAACCCGAGGGACTACACCTCCCATGGGGCAACGCAGAACTCAAGGGGGGCGCGCGGACGCGCAAAGGCTTATGGGAGCTCCGTAAGTCCGGTGCATGATGGGAGTTGTAGTCCGGTACACCTGTTACTCCTTGAGCACGACGGCGGACCGCACTACTTTTCCCATGAGGCAAAGCGGCTGGGCAGGACTATAAGCGAGGGAGGCGCAAAGGAGCATGGTAAATAAAGCTGGCGGGCCTGAGGGGCCCCGCCTTCCCGGTGCATGATGGGAGTTGTAGTCCGCTCACATCGTTACTCCTTCAAAACGACAAGGAGCCGGACTGCATTTCCCATGAGGCGCCGGCGCAGAAAATGGCTACCTAGCTGATGCCCCTGCGCCTCACGGGAGATGTAGTCCCACCGGCCGACCACGCCCGTCCCGTGAGGCACCGCGCGCGGCAGCGGCATGGGCAAGGGGCGGGCGCTGCAGGAACCTTTGGGTGCGGAGCGATCGATCGCGCGTGAGGCTGACCCTCGCTCACTCCGCGGCGCTGGTAGCCACCACCGGAAGTGGGGGGGGGAGGGGCGCACCGGAAGTGACCTCACCACAAGGTCTTGTTGCCTGTCTGGGTTCCAGGCCCCGCCGGCCCTTCACGGGGTGGCCTGGTGGGGCTGGTGCAGGGGTCAGCGCCCTGGTTCAGCCCCCAATGGCAAGATGGGCTGGGGCAGGTAGAGACAAGGGTGATGGGGTCAGAGGTCATGGTAGCATTCGAATCTGCGTTCCAAAGGGGTCAGAGGTCACAGGTGGAGGTTACGCCCTGGTCGGGGGTTCGGTTATGGGAGGGGGACAGAAGTCATGAACTAGCTGGAGGTCACTGTGGGGCCAGAGGTTCGGGGGGGTCGGCTGTCGAGCAGAACTGTCGCTAGCGGTGTCTGGGGTGTCACGCTGGGGTCAGAGGTTGTGGTGGGGATAAGGACCCAGAATTGGGACCGTTAGACGTGACCTCACTCTGGGATCTCTGGCAACTTGCCGTCCAGCACAGTTAGCCAGGACCCACAGCGCCTGAGGCCTATGGGGAGTCACCTCAGGTGGGGCCATCAGATCTGGGGTCGTCTTGTCTTATTTTTAGCCAGTTGCCCTTCTGCCTTTCTCCTTCAGAGTGCCACACCAGATTCATGACAGCTGCCTGGTTCCTGAGCCCCACGCCCCAGTCCCAGTAAGGCGCCAGGGCTGGAGTGGAGTCTACTGGGGGCCGCTGGGATTGTGGAGGAGTCTCCCCAGCTTGTCCTGAGCCACAGTCTCTGCCTCTCCCACCATGCCGCACATCGATAATAACATCAAGCTGGACTTCAAGGATGTCTTGCTGAGACCCAAGCGCAGCACCCTGAAATCCCGGAGCGAGGTGAGTGCCCCAGCCCCTATCCCTGAGTGGCTGGGGGCAGATATGGTGCACCCTAGGGTTCCTCCTCTGGGAGCCTGCTAGCACCTCTCTCCCTCTCCGGCATAGGTGGATCTCCTCCGCTCGTTCACCTTCCGCAACTCACACCAGACGTATAGCGGGATCCCCATCATTGCTGCCAACATGGACACTGTGGGCACCTTCGAGATGGCCAAAGTCCTTTGCAAGGTACATGGACCAGGGATCCCCCAGCCGTCTCCTGTAGCAGCAGCATCACTGATTTCCCAGCTGATCAGCAATGGGGATTCACCCCCCCCCCATGTGTTCTTCTTCCCAGCCAATCAGCACCTGGGATTCCCCCCGGTCATACACCATGTGATTAATTGCCCTAGCCATTCAGCATTGGGGAACTCCCCCCAGGACTGTAGCAGCTTTATAAGCCATGTGATCGACTTCCCAGCCAATCAGCATTAGGGATTCCCTCCCCTCAAGGCTGCACGGTCATTGGAATGTACGTGATTAACTGCTCAGCCAATCGGCATCAGGGATTCTCACCCTCCTGCCCTCTCAGGGCTGAAAACTGCCTGATTAAGTGCACAGCCAATCAACAATCAGGATCTCCTTTGGAATCTTCCACTATAGGAAGGGGAGTTCATATAGTAGGAGGGAATATTCTCACTTGCTGGTGGGCTGTTCCATTATAGCAGGGGGAAGAATTTTCTTTCCTCCTTCCATTATATCTTCTTGGTGGGTTGTTCCATTACATGGGGGGGAGGATATCTCTGTTCCTGATGGCAATTCCATTATAATGGGGGGGGGGAATCTTTTATCTTGGTGGATCATTCCATTATGATGGGGTGTCAGGGTGAGGGTGTCCCTCCGCTCAGTGTCACAACCCATATCCTCCTCTCCCCCCCAGTTCTCACTCTTCACTGCCATCCACAAGCACTACAAGCTGGAGGAGTGGAAGGAGTTTGCTGCCCAGGAGCCCGATTGCCTGCAGGTGCATGGGGTGGGGGGGGGTCGGCCCCACCCTCCACACCCCCAACTACCTCCAGGGGAATGAACCTCGATGCTGTCCTGGGAGCCATTCTAGCTCCCGCTTCCCCCCACCTGCCCCAGGGGGGTTTCCTGCCCTATGGGGAGCCATCCTCACCCCCCCCACACTTCCTCCTTATTGCCTCGGGGGGTGTTTTCCCCCCAGAAAACAATCTCACTGCCCCAGGGAGACCCCTGCCCCCACAGACCGCCCCACTCTCCCTGTATTGCCCCAGGGAGCCATCCCAACTCCCTCCTCCCCAGCTCTTACCCCTGGAGGTCTCTGTCTCAGAGTGTCCTCACACCAGTGTCTCCCCAGCACGTGGCGGCCAGTTCAGGCACCGGCCCCTCAGACTTCGAGCAGCTGGAGAAGATCCTGGAGGCCCTACCCCAGCTGCGCTACATCTGCCTGGACGTGGCCAACGGCTACTCGGAGCACTTTGTCCAGTTCCTGCGGGATGTGCGCAAGCGCTTCCCCGACCATACCATCATGGTACGCACCGGCCCACCTCGTCAGTCATAAAATCATGGTTGGTACTGCCCCACCCCTGCCAGTACCACCATCATTGTACGTGCCACCCCTACCCCGTCAGTCATACAATCATGGTACGTACTGTGCCCACAGCCGCCAGTCATATAATCATGGAACATACCACTCAACCCTTGCCAGTCATACAATCATGGTATGTATTGTCCCCACACCTGCCGTACCACCATCATGGTATGTACCGCTGCCACCCCTGTCAGACATACAATCATGGAATGTACCACCCAACCCCTGACAGTCATACAAATGTGGTATGTACCGCCCCATCCCCATCAGTCATACAGTGATAGTATGTACTAGCCCAGCCCAGCCAGTACCACCATCATGGTACGTATTGTCCTCTCCCCCACGAATTGCATCATTTTAGTACATACTGCCTCATCCCCTCCAGTCACAACATAGTGGTACATACTGCCCCCAGCTGGTACCACCCTCTTGGTATGTACCCTTTGTCAATCACACCACTGTTCCCACCCCCTGACCAGTACCACCATCATGGTACATACTCCTCCCCCCCCCCCCCCCCGGCCAATCACATCATGGTATGAACCCCCGCTCCACCATGAACCCCTCACACACATCCCACCCCTGATATGTGTTGTCAGATGCTACCGGTGTGGTGCTCTGCTTTCTCCTATGTTGATATCACTCGGCTGCGTGCGTGTGTTCCCCCTGTGTGCTGCCCCACCTCTGCGCAGACAGCTGACCCAGCAGACCCGAAGAGAACCCCCAATAACCACAGAGTTTAGTAAGATGCAAAGTCACATCGACTAGGTTTATTGTGACCTCGGACACAATTGCAGTTCCCCGTAGATTACTTAGTCTATCAGGCATACTACTAATAGATGCCTCTTGGCAATGTACCCGGCTCAGTGGCGGGACTTTCCACTGCCCCCTCGGCCGGACAAAGATATCCACTCAGGGATGCATTCTTATACACAGATACAAACAAGTTACACATCACTCCTGATGTATTGAGGTGCAACCCCTCTACGTAGTAAGGTGCCGCCTCTCACCTTGTTCATGTTGGTTCGAACAAAACAACTCTATCCATCATTTTATCCTTTTGCCCCGGTCATTGGGATGGGTCGGCCTGTTCCTTGTTGTGTGTGGAATGTACAAGTGTGCGAATGTTCTGATATCTGGTGTCCAGTACCCGTTAGGTATGTCTCTTTTTGCAGCATCAGCCCTTTCCTTGCCAGCTTCTGTGAGCAGGGCCTGCCTCTGGCTCACAGCTTAACTTTGCTTTATGTTAGCAAAGTCTTGACCATTACTTTAGTTCAGGCCTTAGGCCTCATACCAGGCCTCTGATATCAAGGTTTATATCTCAGGGCCTCCTCTTACTACAGTATGTACAGCCTTCCCCACCCCCATGATGGTACGTTCCACTGCCCCCCCACCCTGGGGTGTGTGGGGCTTGAGGGCTCCCCACTGTCCCCACAGGCTGGGAACGTGGTGACGGGGGAGATGGTGGAGGAGCTGATCCTCTCTGGAGCTGACATCATCAAAGTGGGCATCGGACCAGGTGACTGGACTGGGGGTGGGGCTAAAACCTGGGGGGGGCTGGACCATCTCAGCATGATTTGGGGGGGGGGGTACACACACTCCCAGCGGGACTGGACCATTTCAGCATGATCCAGGGGGCCTGGACCATCTCAGCGTGATTGTGGGGGATACACACAGCCCCGGGGGCTGGACAATCTCAGCATGATGGGGGGGGGGGGGGGGATGGATACTGTCATGGAGTGTGTGGGAGACAGGGCCTGGTCCCCCCACTTCCTGCGATTCACCGGGACCCTCAGCCAGCCAGTAACACAGAAGGTTTATTAGCCGACAGGAACACAGCGTAGAACAGAGCTCGTAGGTACCGGCGACAGGACCCCTCAGTCAGGTCCCTATTGGAGGGCAGAGAGCTTGGACCCTGGCCCCGGTCCTCCCTTTGTTTCCCCAGCCAGCTCCAAACTGAAACCCCCTCCAGGAGTCTCACCTCCAGCCTTTGTCCAGTTTCCCGGGCAGAAGGTATCACCTGGTCCTGGCCCCAGCCCCCTCCTGAGCTCAGGTATCACCCTGATATCCCATCACCATGCAGACAGTACCAGCAAAACGCCCCCGCAGTATCCCCAGGTGAATCCGCCCCACTCCCTGCGTCACAGATACACCCCCCCAGCGGGTGGGGGGGCTGGGCCATCTCAGCAGGATGGGGGGCGATACATACACCTCGGGGGCCTGGACCATCTCAGCAGGATGGGGGGATACATACACCTCAGGGGGCTGGACCATCTCAGCAGGATGGGGGATCCCCATTAGTGGGGTGCTCTTGCCCGCTGACAGGTGTTGATACCCATCCCTGCTGTGTCAAGGTTTGGTCTGTACCACTCGGAAGAAGACAGGGGTGGGGTACCCCCAGCTGAGCGCTGTCCTGGAATGCGCCGATGCAGCCCACGGCCTCAACGGGCACATCATCTCGGTGAGCAGTGCCGGACGGCTGGGTTCTATCCGGGGAGGGGAGGGGAGGGGGTCCAGTGGTTAGAGCTGGGAGCCAGGACTCCTGGGTTCTATGCAGCTCGGGGAGGGGGGTCCAGTGGTTAGAACAGGGGACTGGGAGCCAGGACTCCTGGGTTCCATGGCTGGTCTGGGCAGGGGAGTGCCTCAGTTTCCCCTCATGATTGCTCTCTCTGTCTCTCTCCCCTAGGACGGGGGCTGCAGTTGCCCGGGGGATGTGGCTAAGGCGTTTGGTAAGTGCAGCCCACCTCCCACCTTGGGTTGAGGGAGGTGGGGATCCCATTGCCTCACTAGTCCCCCTTTTGTGGTTGCAGGTGCCGGCGCAGACTTTGTCATGTTAGGGGGGATGCTGGCGGGACACACGGAGTCGGGGGGGGAGCTGATTGAGAGGGGGGGCAAGAAATACAAACTCTTCTATGGGATGAGCTCCGAGGTGGCCATGAAGAAATATGCCGGGGGAGTGGCGGAGTACAGGTACGGATTGGCCTTGCCCTGCAGGGGGTGCTGTGGGAGCGGGGCAGGGCCTGTGTGGGGAGGGTTGGGATCTCCCCAGGGGGGCGTGTTGATGGGGCAGGTGGTGGAGGTGCCGTTCAGGGTGGGGTGGGGCTGGGCTCTCTCCCAGGGGGCTCCCACTCAGTCCCCGCAGGGTGTCAGAGGGCTGGGCGGTGGGGGTGCCGTTCCGTGGGCCGAGCTCTCCCCCAGGGGGCGCCGTGGGGCTCTCACGCTCTCCCCACAGGGCATTGGAGGGCCAGGCGTTGGAGGTGCTGTTCAGGGTGGGCTGGGCTCTCCGTCAGGGGGTGCCGTGGGGCTCTCACGCTGTCCCCACAGGGCGTCGGAGGGCCGGGCGGCGGAGGTGCCGTTCCGGGGCGCCGTGGAGAACACACTGCGGGATGTGCTGGGCGGGCTCCGTTCCACCTGCACCTACGTGGGCGCCGCGAAGCTGAAGGAGCTGAGCCACCGAACCACCTTCATCCGTGTCACCCCGCAGGGGCCCCCCCTCTTCGGGGCAGGCGAGTAGAGGCCCCCAGTGCACCCCAGCACATCCAGGGGCAGGGATCCCCAGTGCACCCCACCACATCCAGCGGCCCCATAATGAACTCCAGCTTTGAGGGTCAGGCCCCACGCTGAGGAGAGTTTTGCCCATTGATCCCCATCTTTGAGGGGCTGAGGCCCAGCCATGAGGACCCCCTGCCTTGGGCACCCCAATATTCCCCTCCCGAAAGCGGGGCGGCAGCAGCGCTCAGCTCTGCCCCTCAGGACAGAGGGGGCAGAGCCAAGGGATCCCCGAATTTTCCCCAATTATTCCATTCCCTGGAGCAGCCCCTGATGTTGGGGGTGGCAGAAGGGATCCCCAAGTCCCTCCCCGCCTTCTCCAGGGGGCCCATCCCCCCAAGGGTCGTCTCCCCCTACTCTGCCAGAGGGGGCTATGGGGCACCCCCCAAATGGAGACCCAGGGGGGGACCGGGCTGAATCATGTACAGTGTTTATTTGGTGTCACCAATTAAAGGCTTTGTGGGGCACCCTCCGGAGGCTGGTGCGTCTGTGCCGTGGGGCGGGGGCAGGGTCCCGGGAGCGCAGCAGCCAGGGCACCTGCAGAGAGAGGGGGAGAGTGGGTGAGGGGGGGTACGGGAGCGCCCCTTGCCCCTGGGGCACACGGAGGGTCACTCACCCGCTGGGGGGGTCCAGGTGGTCGCAGAAGGTGGGGATCAGGGTGTTGTACCGCGTGCGCTGGTAGCTGGCCTGGGGGTGATGGGGGGGTGAGTTATGGGGTCTGAGCAGGCCCCCTGAGTGACCCCTGAACCCCAGCCTGAGAGCCTGGCCCCTCAAGTGACCCCTGAACCCCCCCAAGAGACCCCTGAACCCCAGCCTGCTAGCCTGGCCTCCTGAGTGACCTCTGAATCCCCCTGACTGACCCCTGAACCCCAGCCTGACAGCCTGGCCCTCTGAATGACTGCTGAACCCCCCGAGTGACCCCTGAAGCCCAGCCTTAGAGCCTGCCCCCCCGAGTGACCCTGACTGCCCCGAGCTCCAACCCCCCCTTGAGCCTCCAGCCCCCCGAGCCGCTCTGCCCCGCAGCCTGAGCCCTGGCAGTGCCTCCTGCCCCCCCAAAGTCACTCACCTTCCTGCGGGGGCCGCAGCTCTCCTCCTCTTCCGACTCCCACACGATGTCCCCGCTCGTGTCTGGAGGGAGTAGGGGGTTACACATGTGGCCCCGGACGCCTGCGTTCACCCCATCCTTGGCGTCGCAGGGGTGTGTGGGGATGGGGACACGTGCTCCCCTCCCCCAGGGTTCACCACTGGGACAGAGACATACCCAGGCTCCTGGTTCTTCCTGGCATGGGGGTGGGGGAGGGGACACATACCCGGACTCCTGGGTTCACAACTGGCCCCTGCTCCTGTGGGGGCAGGGGGAAAAGGCCAGGGAATGACAACTTCCACCCCCCTGGACCTGGGAGTCCCTCTGTCCCAGTCCGTGTGTTGGGGGACCCCACCCAGACGCCTGGGGGACCCCCCTCTCCGAACGGCCAGTACATACCCAGGTCCTGTTCTCCGGGCGGCTGGCAGTGCAGGCCAAGGTCAGGGGGCATCCTGGGGGGAGAGAGGGGAGGAGATGAGCGGGGGGGGGGGGAGAGGGGGCGGGGGGGGAGTGGAGGGGGGAGACACACTCACTCTTCCTGTGCGGGTGCTGCCCCCTCCTGGCTCCGCCTCTGGCGGGACCCTGGCGTCCCGGGCACTGGGGGCAGGGAGGGCGTGCTGGTTACCAGCGGCAAGGCGGGTGAGCCTGGGGGAGAGAGGGGAGGTGGGTGGAGCCTGGGATGAGTTCCGCCCCTCCCCATGAGCCCCACCCCCAGGCTCTCCCACCCAGCCACATGCCCCACCCCCAGGCACTCCCACCCACCTACGTGTCCCGCCCCCGAGGTTCTCCCACCTACCCACATGCCGCGCCCCCCCAAACGCTCCCACCCACCAACCCACGTGCCCTGCCCCCCAACGTGCTCCCAGTCAACCACCTGCCCCACCCCCAGACACTCCCACCCACCGGCGTGCCACTCTTCCACCCACCTGCCCTGCCCCCCAATCTCCCGCCTACCCATGTGCTGGTGGTAGCCCATGTCCGTGAGGTACTGGGCCAGGACGCTGAGCTCCGAGGGGCGCTGGGGGGGGCCGGCCAGGGGGCACTCGCTCCAGGCAGCCTCCTGCAGCTGGGGGGAGGGGGGGATTAGACTGCGGGATCCAGAACTGACCCCCCACTTCCTTCCCCCCCCCATTCCCTCCCCATACCTGCTGGAGTTGGGGCGGGGGCAGGGTGCTCTCCAGGCGCCCCAGATACTCATAGAGCAGCCCCTCCAGCTCCCCCCAGGAAGGGCTCCCCATATTCGGCCTCCAGCTGCTCCTGCCGGGAGAGCGCAGATGTCAGTCCCCAGGCCCCGGCACGGGCCCCTGGCACAGCCCCCCACCTCTCTGTGCCCCCCATGCAGCACAGCCCCATGCCCCCCTGTGCCTCCCACATGTCCCCCCAACCTTGTGTGCCCCCTGGCACAGCCCCCCAGCTCCCTGTACTCCCAACCTCCTGCACCCCCTGGGCCAGCTCTGTGTGCCCCCAACCCCCTGACAGCCCCCCAGCTCCCTCTGCTCCCTGTCCCCTGGCACAACCCCCCCAACTTCCTGCACCCCTGGCACAGCCCCCCAGCTCCCTGTGCCCGCCAACCTCCTGCACTCCAGGACAGCACCCCACTCCAACTCTCTGCGTTCCCCAGCACAGCCCACCAGCCTCACCTGTGCCCCCAACACACCCCAATTCCCCACCCCCTGTATCCTCCAGAGCCCCTGCACCCCCGTCCTAACCAAGCCCCCCTGCAGGCCACGCCCCAGCCCTGCTCACCTCCACGTAGGTCTCCCGCCGCTGCCGGTCACTCAGCAGGCCCAGCACCAGCTCCCGGAAGGTCTCCTGGGCTTCGCCCACCAGGCGCAGGTCCCGGGCAGTCTGGGCGGGGGGCAGCAGGACGTGAGCGCCTGGGTCCAACCAGCTGCTGAAATGCAGCCACCTCTAGGGCGCGGCGCAGGAACCAGCCTCTGCCCGTCTCCCTGCAGCACAGCGCCCCCTAGCGCCAGCACTGACTGTGGGGGGAGAGCGCCCCCTATTGAGCCCCCGCCCTGCCTCGCTCCCTGCAGCACAGCGCCCTCTAGCGCCATGCTGGGGCCAGGTCTGATGGCAGGGGAGAGCGCCCCTAGCTGATCCCCCCGCCCCGCTCCTTGCAGCGCAGCGCCCTCGAGTGCCACATGGTGCCCGGGGAGCCCTCCCCCGCCGCAGGGCAGGACTCACGGCCAGCGGGTGGCGCCGGTGCTCGCCCTCGGGGAAGTAGGTGTCCACGGCGTCGTAGATCTTCCCGTCCGGCTGCTCCTCCTGCAGCATCCCCATGATCACCTGCGGGGAGCAGAGCATGCTGGGCTAGCGGGCCGGAGCTGGGGGGGGAGGCTGGGTGGCACGGGGGCTGCCCCCCCTTACCGCAGCCTGCAGGCCCAGGCGCAGCCGGGCGTAGTGGCGGAAGAAGACGACGTCGGGGGCCGCCTGCCCCACGGCCTCCAGCAGCCCCAGCACCCGCGGGAAGTCGCGCACCTGCCGCGCCCGCATCACCTGCCAGGCGGCCGCCGCGGCCAGGCGCAGGGGGG